GGCTGACCAATCAGAGCGCGATACTTCCCTATGTACTTCATGTAGTCTCAGTTCGGGATCTATGTTTCCATTAATTACGAATTGTATTGTATGTTTTATGCGACTTCCGGCCAACATCAAACACTGATACGGGTTTCGGGATGTTACAAAAAAGACGTGTGTGTATATATATATACATATATACATATATATGTATATATATACATATATACGTATTTATGTATATATATGTATAGGTGTGTTTATATACACATATGTACTCGTGTGTAAATGTGTGTACATGTGTATGTGTATGTATATCTACATGTATATGTACACACGCACGCACACACACACGTATATATATATGTATGCATTTATGTATATATGTATTCACACACACACATGTATATATATTACATACATGTGTGTGTGTGTCTGTGTGCTTATACTCAACCCGGTGACTCCTGCTTTCCAGTGGAGTTTCATACTTCTGCCCAAGCTGCCCCTCGACATGCCCCCCGCTCGACCCCGCCTCCTGTCCTTATGGTGTAGTAACCGACATATGCGACTGCTGCGACGTGTGTGGGAAGGTGGGCCGGTGCCGTTGATCCAACTCTCTTTACTGTTTAGATTAGCAGTTCATTTTCTCGTCCTGTCATTTTTGATAATTGAAAGGAAAGGAATAAGTCCACGAATTCCCGTTGGTCAGTGAAGTTAGACACTCTAGGGAATAATTTCTTTGAAGTTTAGTAAATACCTGCTGATTATTAATGACTTGTGACTAAAATACGATCATATATTTCGCAGATACTGTTTATGAATAATTTCATATCAACTACATTCACACTTCTACCCATTAACTACAATTCTGATTATGCACACCATATAAAAAGACATTTTGTTTTCAGGGACCTGGTGAGGTCTGCAGTGATGTAGAATGGAAATGCGGAAATGGCTCATATTGTTTATCACTTCCCAACTATCCTTGGCGCTACGGACGCTGTGTACGTAAGGATGCGGAATAAATGTTGGGGAAGCTTTTACCTGACATATTCCTTTCGGCCTAGTCCCAAAACTTGGTCAGAAAAGATGCGTATCTTTAAAGATCAGAATAAATGCATCCATTCAACATTGTATTTTTTAACCTTTAAGTAAAGAAGAAAAAACTTTTAAACATATATGCATGCGTATATGCATAAAACAGATATACATGAATACCTGCATGTTTATACATGCACACACACACACACACACACACACACACACACACACACACACACATATATATATATATATATGTGTGTGTATATATACATACATACATATATATATATATATATATATATATATATATATATATATGTGTGTGTATATGAAATGTTTGTATACATATTCATGTATATATGTAGAAAGACATATTGCGGTTACGGAGATATCACAGCTCTGACCGGCCAAACGTCCCCTTCCCCAACACTTCGCCCTCTGAACTACCGTCTGCGATCGTTCGCCTGGAATTCCGTGGCGGCCTCAGGAGCAGGGAATCTCGGCGGAACAGAGGTCGGGGCTCAGGAGAGAGTGATCGACCGCGAACAGGGCAACGGGGAGTTCGGCCAGCCAGCGGGGGGGAGGGGAAGGCGGCAGAGTAGCAGATGGATCAGGTAGTTACCTTTATATATGTGTGTGCATGTAATTTATATGCATACATGTGTGTTTGTGTACGTGGAGAAAGAGAAAGAGAGATAGGTATTTCCGCTTGGTTAGTGAGGTTAAGTGCAGGAATTTGTAAAATACTGGTGAAATATGTCCTTTACTTTTAAGAAATTATTGCTAATTAGTATGACTTCTGATAAGTATACGGGTATATGTTCGATACTGATAACAGTCAATTTAAGGGTTTATTTTGCAACTACCTGTATACAAAGGGTTTCATACCGTCCACACGGGTGTATGCATTCCTGTCCATCGATGGTCTTCTCTTTGCAGGACTTGACTTTTGCAGTGACATGGAGAGACAATGCGAAGGTGGCTTATTCCGTTTAAAATTATGTGGATTCCCTTGTTGTTATGGCTTCAGTGTGTTTAAAAAAGAAGCGTTCTATCCTCTGTGGTGTGGGGATGCCTATAGCAATGACATTTCTATCTTTAAAATAATGTCATTAAAAAGACCTCCAAATGAGCCTATCTTTGAAGACCGACATGAATAGATATCTGCTCTTTTGTGAATTTAATAAATCTTCACAAGAAAAGAAAATCATGCTTATCTTCAGTGGCGTCGGGTATACACCTGTTCATTGCAGTCCTATTTTGTCAATTTTATTTACGTATAGAGGCTTCCACAGATGCTTATTCAGAAAGAAGTCAATCATAGTAGACTTATCTGAACTCGCCTGATTTGCTAACCCTCGATTTTTTCTGATACTATTATTGTCGTCACGTTTACTATTACTATCGACATTATGATTATCATGACATACACAACAATAGTGTAGTAATAGTGTATTATTGATAAAGGTCACAA